GTCACATCCCACTGAGGGCAGAGCCCCACACGCTGCCCTGCAGGACAGAGCTGGGCAGGGCAGCAGAACATGTGAGAGATAAACAGAATAAACAACCTGGAAACCAGCACAGACCAATTCTGGCTTCTGCTTTGGCAGCAGGACTGACAGACAGAGACTTTCCACAATCTGGGAATCATTGATACCTCAGATTCTGACACTTGGGAAGTCTTGGATGTCTCCTGAGGGTGCTGGAGGGTAAATAACCCAACCTGAGCTGGGTTCTGCTCCTTGGCTGCTCCCAGCAGGGGATGGATGCTCTCCCCTTTCCCTTGGGCCTCTCCTCTCCTTGCTAAGGTGAAGAATTCCCAGGCGGGATTGTGAGCTGAGGTGGAGGAGGCCCAAAAAACTTCATGGAACCATGGAATTTTAAGTTTAGGTTGGTAGGGACCTTAAAGCTCATCCCATTCCACCCCCTGCCATGGGCAGGAACACCTTCCACTATCCCAGGCTACTCCAAGGCCTGTCCAGCCTGGCGTGGGACATTCCAGGTGCCAGGAACGTGGGTATTCCCAGAATTTCTACCTGCTCCAAACCCAGGGTCAAGTGTAGGGAACGCTGGGCTCCAGGATGGTTTGGATGAATGGAGACAGAGATCTCTGGAGGCAGATCTTGGGATATCAGGTTTATTAGGGATGGAGAAAGGTCCTGCTTGGAGCTGCCAGACTCAGCACGGGGCGAGGCCTGAGGGGATGGGGAGGGGAGAGACAAGAGGATGCTCCAGGAAAGGGTGGAAGTTCTAAGAGGAGGGAAGATCCAAGAGGGGGGAAGATCCAAGAGGAGGGGAAGTTCCAAGAGGGCATCCGGCCCCTCAGAGACCCCTTATCAGGGGGCTTCAAGGTGGGCTGGAACAAGATTTTGGGCCAATGGGGTCACAGACACCTGATGTTTTAGGGGAGGGATACAGGTGTGGGGTGAACCGTACATTTTGGGGATGAGATAAAACATTCCATTTGACTTTTGGACCTCTCTGTAGGTAAGGGCATTGTCCAGCCAGCAGGTGGGATTGTTTTCATCCTGCCTGTACTATCGTGAATCTTTTGCCAGGCAATTCTATTTATCCATCCTTCCCAACAGTCAAGAGCAGAACAAACAGATAAACGCAACCAAACAAAGGCCAGGCATGCAGGTGAAAACCCAACCAACAAGAGCTGGCGAGGGGGAGGCACCAACACCCTCCCCACGGTGTCCTGTCAAAACCGGGCAGCTGGGGGCTGGTTTTGCCATGCCACTTGCAATTCCTGAAATCTGCCTTAATTACAGTGATCACCCTGGGCTGACAGTCCATTAGGGATGCTCCTGGCTTTGTGCTGAGCTCAAGGGTTGTGTCACAGGCGAGCTGCTGCCTCCGTGGGCTGGTGGTGACGGGTGTGGGGACGGACAGAGGGGACAATGAGCACTTTCACACTAATTACCATCCTCGGAGCTCTCCTGACGAGGATGCTCGGTGGCAGGAGTGACTCACCCATCTCCCTCGCTCCTGCCCGCCTCCAGAGCACGGATTTTGATTTCCACACACGCGAGGCTTGGCATTCTTTCCCGGGGGTGCCCTTGAGCAGCAGCGCTCAGCTTTGGCCGGGCTGTGCCGGGGCTGCTGCATTTCCCACCCCAGCTCTGTTTCCCTGCGACCACACAATCTGCTGCTCAGTGGCATCTCCAGAGGGGGAGGATGTGCCTCTGACTGGGTTTTGCTCTTCCTGGGGGTCAGAGGAGGACTGCAGGTCCTCCAGGGCGTGCTGGGGCAGCAGCTCCTGCCTCCCTGTGCCTGGGGGATGCTCAGAAAAGGGTTCTGCTCGAGGTTGGGGTGGTGCTGGGGCTGAGAGGATAAGCAGGACCAGGGATTCTGTGCTGATATGGGGGTTCACAGCCTCCTCTCTCCATCAGGGGCTGTTGCTCCCCCAAATCCTCCCAGAGGGAGACCCCCTGGGTTAATACAGGCAGTGCCAGGGTCATTTTGGGAGGGCTGAGGTGGCACAGGCTGGCAAGGGCAGAGCTGGAGGCCTCCTCTCCAAGCTGCTTTGTGTCTCTTCGTATCAGGGACTCCCCGCTGTTGAGAGCACCCCAAAATCGCCTGTCCCAGGACATCCCTCCCAGGGGGCTCAGCCTTGCCCCGTTTCCCATCTCCTGCCACGAAACCCCTGGAGTTTTTCTCCCGAGGGTCAGGGGAGGTGCCAGATGCCAGCACTGCCCTGGGGGCAGCAATTCCCCAGAGCTTTGCCCCCTGTCCTGCTGCTGCTCCCACCCAGCTCCTTCCTCCTCCCCACTGGGGCTTCCCCTCTCTGCTCTCACCTGGCGCCCACCTGGGGAGGAGCAGGGCAGATCAGTCACAGTCCTCAGGGGGCTCAGTGCTGGGGAGGCCTAAAAACCAGCTAAAGGTGAGGAAAAGGGCCTAAAACCCCCCTTTGATGGGGATCCTGCTTATTTTTGTTTAATATTCCAGGTGTTGAGGTGCTTGGATAAGGAATTTTTGGGCTGGAGAATCCCTCTTTTATGGGAGCCCCAGCTTATTTTAGTTAATATTTGGGATATCTGCGTGTGCCAGGACTTAGGCTGGTTTGGGGTGGAGAATTTGTCTTTGATGTGAATGATGCCTAATTTTGCTTAATATCCCAAATTTCAGGGTGCATGGGGGCTTGGACAGGCTGCTGTGGGCTGGAAAATCCCCCTTTTCTGGGAAGCCCACCTCATTCTGGTTCATATTTGGAATATCTGCATGTTCCAGGACCTAGGCTGGTTTGGACAGGAGAATCCCTCTTTGATGTGAATGATGCCTAATTTTGCTTAATATCCCAAATTTCAGGGTGCTCAGGGGTTTGGAGGGGCTGTTTTGGGCTGGACAATCCCTCTTCGATGGGGACACCACCTTATTTCGCTTGATACTTTAGATACCTGCACATGCAGAGAATTAAGATTATTTGACCCCCCTTTTGATGGGGGACCCCACATCATTTTGGTCGATATTTTGGACGTTTGCCTGTGCAGCTACTTACTCTGGAGAGCCCCCCTTGGATGGGGACCCTACCTAATTTTTCTCAATCTTTCTTAACGCGGGGCGCGCAGGGGCCGGATTTGGGGGGGCGATGCCCGGCGTGGGAATCCCTGGCGGGGTGAAAGGCCGGCTCTGTGCCAGGGGAAAGGCTCGGGGGAGCCACCGGAGCGTGGCCGGGTGGCACCGGGAGCTTTGGCCGGGTCCCGTTGCCGGCGCCGTGCGCGCAGCCGCGCGTGGGCACCGCGGAGCTCCGCACGGAGGGAGGGAGGGAGGGAGGGAAGGAGGCAGAGCGGCGTCCCCACGTCGCCTCCATCGCCTTTTCCCCGCCGTGCTGGCCACGCTGGCCACCCCCGGGCTGGATGCTGCTGGGGCAGCGGCGAGCCGAGGCGCTGCGAGGCTCCCGGCTGCAGGTAAAAGGCGACAGAGGAGGGAGGAGGAGGGAGGATGAGGATGGCGCGGTGACCCCGCTTGGGGACAGGTCTGGGCTGGGATGGGGTTTAATCACTCCTCTGTCCCCGTACTCTGCCAGCGAGGGGGTGACACCCCGCTTTTTTCCAGCTGGCTTTAAGCTCAGCACATCCGCGGGGACGCAGCCATCCCCTCCCCGGGAAGGGTCCCCGCGTCCTCCCAGGCTCCAGCACCCAAGGCTGCATCCAGCAGGGGCTGGGAGCAGCATTTCCCGTGGGAATGGGGAGCTGAGGGTGGCCGGGGCATGGAAACATCCACCCCCCACCCCCCCATTCCCCCCATCCCCCCGCGTGTGCTTTTCGAGGGGCTCACTTCCAAAATCCAGCCTGGTACGGCCCCCGGGAAGGAATTTTTGCCAGGTAAAAATGGGAATTGCAGAAGAAGCAGCCCCGTTTTGGGGCTCCCTGGGGATCCAGGGGGGTGTGGGAGCTGTGCCGCTGGGAAATGGAAGGAGAAAGCGCTGCTCGCCACAAAAGCCCGGCGTACGCAGCTCGGGGCTATTCAAGGGACATTTAATTCTCCTCGCCAGCGCAGGCGAATGGGGAGCTGCCATCTGGTGTCTGATGGCAGCGGAGGGAAAGGAAAAGGATCTCCGGGAAGCAGGGCAAGCTGGGAGCTCGGATTCCCGGGAAATGGCTCCGGTTGAAGGGCTGGGTGATGCTTTTGTGGGCGCTCCGTGTGAGCTAAAGCCGGGCTTGCCAAGGGGAAGGATCCACCTGGAAGGCAGCAGCGCCCCGGCACTGGGGCTGGGAGGGGAGGTGATGCCGGGGAATAAATCCTCCAGTCCTACACACATCACACGCCAAAAATCCTCCCTCGTCGGGATTGGGATCCCGCTGGCGGCTCAGGATGGGCTGGGGGCTGACTCTGGCGTGCACCGAGTGCGTGCGGTCTCTGCCCCACCTGTGCCAGCCCAGCTGGGCTCTCAGGCACCCCCGTGGCATCCAGGGAATTATTTTAGGAAGTTGCAGGGCTGTGGGCAGGGCTGCAGGGCACAACCTCCCCGATAAAGCCGGGAGCGCATCCCGGCCCCGGGAGCAGAACGGGCGAGCCCAGCGAGGAGCAGTTCCGGCTCTCCAAAATCCCAGGATACGTTTAAACGAGGAGGTTTGCGTGTTTAAATTAGGTGCGGCGCTTGGGAGGGGGGCAAATACCTAAATCCGAGCGGTACCTCCGGATTTAGGATGAGTTTCGGGATCTGGCACTGAACGGGTCTGCAGCCGTGACCCTGGGGCCGGCGTGTTCTGCTCTGGGGAGGAACACGAGGGAACAAGACTGACCAGTTCCCGGGGAGGAAACAGCCTGTTCCCTCAGGCACAGGGAGTTTTCCTTGGCACGCATTCAGCCGTGCCCAGGGTGCCCCTGCAGAGCCCGGCCGGGCTGGGACAGAGCCGTGGGTGCGGTGGCTGCGTGGGCAGTGCCAGCGCCAGGAGCTGGTGGCACACCCGTGTCAGACCCGTGGGTGCGGTGGCTGCGTGGGCAGTGCCAGCGCCAGGAGCTGGTGGCACTCCCGTGTCAGACCCGTGGGTGCGGTGGCTGCGTGGGCAGTGCCAGCGCCAGGAGCTGGTGGCACACCCGTGTCAGACCCGTGGGTGCGGTGGCTGCGTGGGCAGTGCCAGCGCCAGGAGCTGGTGGCACACCCGTGTCAGACCCGTGGGTGCGGTGGCTGCGTGGGCAGTGCCAGCGCCAGGAGCTGGTGGCACACCCGTGTCAGACCCGTGCCAGGGCAGTGCAAGCTCTCAGGGTGGATGGGACGAGGGAGGATTTCCACGGAGGGCCGCAGCGTGGAGAAGTGCCAGCGCTGAGCAGCGGCGCTTTGCCAGCCCCCGAGCAGCCGCGACTCCCCGTGCCTGTCCCAAAAATTCCTCCCGGCGTGTCCCCCTCCATCGGGACTGCCTCCTCTGCAGGGCAGCAGCACGTGGGCTGGGAGAAGGCAGCATGCTCAGCCCTTTCCTGCAGGCTGGGAAGGATTTGTCCCCTGGCACAGCTGGCAGAGAGGCGAGGGATGTGCTGGAATCCCTTGTGCTGCAGCACAGGGCACAAACCCTGCCCTGGCCAGGGCCAGGGGCTGCCCAGCTCAGCATCCCTCACCCCCACACAGCAGCGGGATGCAGGCAGCCCTTGGCACGGAAGCAGTGCCAGGAATCTCTGCAGAGCTCTGGCTCTGTTCAAAGGAGCAGAGCTGTCTCCTCTGGGCTGCCAAGACAAATCCTGCAAGAACATCACTTGTGGCTTTTCCCCTTTCCCGGAGCTGAGTGTTCCCAGGGGCTCTCGGAGCTGCTGCACTCCGTGTCTGGGTGCCAGGCTGCAGGGATGAGGCCAAGAGGAGTGTGGGAATCCAGAGCTTCCCTCTGGCTGCCCTGGGACCCTGGCAGGGCTCAGGAACCCCCCTGGACAGAGCCCCAGAGACACTGGCTGTGATCTCTGTCCATGAAAAGAGTTTTCAGTCTTACAGGATGAATTACCAGCTCTGAGTGTTTGATATCAGTAATAATTAAATGTGGCACAGGTGCCAAAGTAAAATTTTAGAATTCTAGATGAGGGGTCCAAAGGGGACAAGCTGGAGGAAATTGGGTGTGCCTTGTCCTTTTTCTCCTTCTTCATGCCCTCCATGTGTCACTGTGGTGTTGGCATTTTTCTGTTGGTTCAGGCTGGGGACACACTGTCCAACGTAGGTGACAGATATTGGCACGTTCTTGTAAATCCAGCCCAGGGAGTTTCTGGTATTTAATGTTTGTCACATCCCACTGAGGGCAGAGCCCCACACACTGCCCTGCAGGACAGAGCTGGGCAGGGCAGCAGAACATGTTAGGGATAAACAGAATAAACAACTTGGAAACCAGCACAGATCAATTATGGCTTCTGCTTTGGCAGCGGGGCAGAAAGACAGAGACTTTTACAATCTCGGGATCATCAATGCCACAGATTCTGACAGAGGAGCAGCCAGAGGTTTCTGTGCTTTAATTACAGTTTTTAGTCATCCCTGACAGCTGCAGGCTGGAGCACCGTGTGTGGGTTGGAGCCGTGTCACCGTGTGGGAGTCACCCCCATCCCGAGTTGATAACAGGGATTATCTCAGTTTGTCACCCAGCTCTGGGGACAGGCTGGGAGCAGAGCGTTGGGTTGGAGAGAGAGGAAAGCTGGGAGGCAGCTTGGCCAAATCCTGCTCCCCGCTGGGATTTCCATTGCGGCAAACTGGGCTTGGATCCCACTGCCAGGTGTGAATCGACCTGACCTCAGCACCCGACACACCTGGAAAAAACCCCGAGGGAAAACTCTGTGCAGGGCTTAGGGGTGCTGGGAGATCCAGCCAGGAGTGCTGGATTCAAGGGCAGGTCACGGATAAAAGCTGCTTGCACACATGTGCAGCTATAGGGGAATCATTCACATCTACCCCAGCTTTTCTTTTTAGTAAAAACAGGCATTTTCCAAAGTTTCAGGGCACCACGGGCTTCCTGTGCCATTCCCACGTGTGGCTTCAGCACATTCATGGCTTTTATTCCTGGGCTGGTGTCTCCACGTGTCTGGTTGAGCTTTGTGGTTAAAGTCAGCCCAGGAGCTGCTGAATTTCAGGATGATGCTGAAGCTCACGGTGTTGTACCAAGGCTCCCCAGCAGCCTAAAAGTCCCTGTTTATTCCAGAACCTTCATTTTCTCTCAGACTTGACCCAGCCAGGAATGGGACCCCTGGGCTGTGCCTGGGCACTGGTGGGATGTGCAGCTGTGCTGATGTCCATCAGTGGAAGGTGCCAGTTTTGGCACCTCAGGCTCTCGTTTGGTATTTTGGCTACTCCTTCCCTGGATTTGTTCTGCTGGAGCAATGAGGAGATTGTGGGGTAGGGACAGGGCTGGTTTTGCAGCTGGTTTTGGGTTTGAAGCTCTTCTGGGCTCTGTGCTGAGAACTTTTGGAGGTGTCTGGGGAGCCTGGGCACCCCCAGCAGCTGCCAGCACCCTGGGACACCTTTGGTGGCCTTCACTCAAGGGCAGGGCTTTACCATGAGCTGGTCAGTGAGGGATTAAATCTTTTCCATCCCCCGGTGAGCAGGATGCATTCCCTGGGGCTCCTGGGCCGAGCCCCAAGTCCTCCTTCCCGTGTGCCATGGCCTCACCACCCTCATGAGTAAAAACTCCTTCCCAATGTCCCATCTAACCGTGTCCTCTGGCAGTGGGAAGCCATTCCCTGTGTCCTGTCACTCCATGCCTTTATCCAAATTCCTTCTCCAGCTCTCCTGGAGCCCCTTTAGGTACTGGAAGAGGCTCTGAGGACTCCCTGGAACCTTCTCTCCATCAGTGCCAAAAAGGACTTTGGAGCTGCTGTGGGAGTGGGGATGGATGATGGATAGATGGATGGATGATGGATGGATGATGGATGGATGGATGATGGATGGATGATTGATGGATGGATGGATGGATGGATGATGGATGGATGATGAATGGATGATGGATGGATGGATGATGGATGGATGGATGGATGGATGGATCATGGATGGATGATGGATGGAGGGATGGATGGATGGATGGATGATGGATGGATGATGGATGGATGATGGATGGATGGATGGATGATGGATGGATGGATGGATGGATGGATGGATGGATGGATGGATGGATGGAGTCCCTGCAGCTGGGGGGGTGGTTTGGGATGGGTCACACTGCCAGGGGCACAGAGCCAGGCTGCAGCTGATCCCCATGGGAACACTGCCAGTCCCTGCTGTGCCGCAGCCTTGGGCTGCTCCTGTCCCTGGATCCAAACTCTGCCCAGCTCCTGGATCCAAACTCTGCCCAGCTCCTGGATCCAAACTCTCCTCAGCTCCTGGATCCAAACTCTCCTCAGCTCCTGGATCCAAACTCTCCTCAGCTCCTGGATCCAAACTCTCCCCAGCTCCTGGATCCAAACTCTCCTCAGCTCCTGGATCCAAACTCTCC